GAGTGTAATTCGTTTATTTTGCCGTTTACGAACATTTATAAGGGTTCGGCACTTGAATAGGAATGCAACCCTTGTATCGGCAAGAAAAGCTGACCAGAAAGCAAATAAATGGATAAAGAGTAATAGAGGATTATCGAACCAAACTATATAGGAAAAAAATCATGTAAGTTGATTTCATATTATTCCTACCAAAAATAATAATTTGAATCATTACTTGGTTTATTATTCACTTAATTTGTGACCTAATTTATGCACGTTTCAATTAATTATTTGGACTACTATATAAAATATTATATTTATTATACACTAATTTAGACTGCTAAATTTTACTATATAAAATAAACCATGAAATTCTGAATAAACATAAATTTAGTATCAGAGCATATACTTTTAAAATGTAAGAATACATGCTATTATTCCAAAATATATATAATACTATTTTAAAATATTTTCATTATTTTTTGAGTAATTGACGTTAAATAATAATACTGATACTGATATTCCATAATAATGCTTTCATAATAGACATTGCAAAAGCTTACAAAATTCTACTACTCATTATCAACGCTAATTGAAAAGCAAAAATGGAAGAAGTGAAATTTGTTTCGTTTTAATGTGTTATAAAATCTATTATTAGCATTAACTAATTTTTAATTAGATAGATGTGTAATGTCTTTAGCATGTATTCTCAAAATGTATTTGCATATTTTTATTTAATATTTCTATAATGCAAATTACTTTGCGACTAACTTATATTTTAACGCAAAAAGAATTCTTCGTAAATGTAGAAATTTACGTATGTTATCGGTGGGTTATTATTTACATATATTTAAAAAGATGATTATGAAAAAGAATTACTACATTTAGGGTACACTCGACCTAAAAAATTAGTTATGTTTACGCATATGTGTTAATTAAAAAATAGTTATGTTTATGCATGTTTTACTTACGTTTTACGCATATTAGAGTTTAACGTAAATACATTTCTAGTTCATATATAAATGCATGTATATTGCAATTTCATGAGCTAAAATCTCGGCTCATACTGGTTATTAAACTATTTTTCAAAGCGTTTTGATTCTCAAGCAAATGCTTAAGAAACTGAACAGCAGAACTGACCAAACGAACCCAACTACGTCATCAGTCTCTTCTTTCGGTTTCAGCCGCGAGAAGCTGATGAACTAGCCCTTTAGCCCTGGCCTAATATACGTATTTCTAACAGTCTTTCTCGTAAAACACTTCTAAATTAACAGAATGTTTGTAGGCGAAAACATAGCGGAGAAAATAACATATAGGAAAAACATTGTCGCTCAAAATATCGTGGGAGAAAAGAAAGCATCGCACTTCTAAATAATCGTGGCATTAAATATTTTAACAGAAAATGAAAAAGATGCAAAAACTTCGCAATTTTCAAACGTCAGTGTAGAAAATATAGTGATAAAAATACAGCACATACAAATCATTGCATAATGACAGCATCATAGACATATTTTTAGACAAAATTTTAAATGCTTGTTCATATGGTGATTTGAGAGCGCAAGAAGGAAAGTGGAATATTTTTCCTTGTATATTTCATATTTCTGAATTAACTAATAAATTTTTGCTAAACGAATAAGGAAACTTAAACATTCAAAAACAGAAAAAGAATAGAAAATTAATGCCACGTACAGCTGTTAATAGGATATTAAACCTATCGAATTAACTATTCAAGATCATTATTTAATTAATCTCTTTCACAAATTACTAATAGTAGTACTAATCTCTTTGATAAAGCTGATTGTGAGAATATACATTTAAAACGTTCAAAGCCCGAAAATGTGAAGCTGCGATAAATGTCATCATCATCGATGATCATCATGCGATGATTAGTATATGTTTTATTATTTTATAACAATATTTTCTATGACCCTATTTTAAACCACTTTATTTTCTACGACGATGTTTAAAATCACAATATTTTAGAACTGAGATGTTACCTCTTTACTCACTCCTTTTCTCCTATCACTTTTTGTATGCCCACGTTGTGTCCATGTGTTGCTTCTCCGCGACTGTTTCATCCGCGATGTTTTCTGCCGATATCTTACAAGGTATTTTTTCTCTCGTTTCCGCATGCCTTCGTGGTGCAAGTGGAAGCACGTTGGGAGCGTATTTCAAAGGTCCGTAGTTGCTATCCTGGTGAGGTCACTGCGGATTTCTTCAGTTCCTTGCTCCAAAAAAAAATTCTGCGGATTTTTTTTGGAGCAAGGAATTCTGCGGAAGACTCTACAGTGGTGCCCGGTCCGAAATCCGAATCCTGGTTAAGGCATTACGGATTTCTTCATTCTTCTGATATTAAAAAATTCTAATAACCCAAGTGGCGCCCGAACTAAAAAGATAGTGGACGATAATTCATCACCATCAGGATTTGGCGACTGGGTCCCCTAGTCCCCAGTCACTCGTTAAAGGGGGGGGAGTATATAAGGTATTTTGTCTCTTCTTTCCCTTCTCGTGGTATAACTGGAAGCACGCCTGGGCGTATGTCTGAGGTCTGGAGTTCAAATCCCGGCGATGGCACAGCAGATATTCCAGCATCGATATAACCTAATGACTCTACAGTCTTACAGGATACAGTGCACAGCAATTGTAGTATACTAATGTTAGCATTTCTGGACGGAGAAATATAAATTTTCAGCCTGTAATGCATTGAAGAGGAATGAAATATGTCACTGCATGATGAAAGAGCTGATATTAATATCCGTTCCGACTCCAGAGCTGTTGTCACTGATGCCATCGCATCGGACAGCGGTTTGTAATTGTTTAAATTTAAGCAGACGCTGGATGGCAGAATTTTACAGATTCAGAAAATAGGCAGCAGAAAGCCTTTTAGTAGAACTGTGCAAAAACTTATTTTATATATTTCATATGCACTTGTTGGATTACATTTCTAATAAGCAATACTATTATAGAAATAAAGAAATACTTGCATAGTAATGGATGAGCGGATAAATGTTTGAATATCAATAAGTAATTCATATGGTTTTCGATTCTCGATGACTGAAAGGACTAGCTGAATAGAAATTTTCGATATTTTTTTTTAAGTGTGACTTAAAAGGTAATGGACAAAGATATTTATTGCAAATAGTTTCTTGAGAGCTTTGCCGCAAATAAATAATTTCAACTGATCATTTAATTTACTTAATCACTTACACTTAATTCACTTGCAAATAAATAATTTCACTTGCAAATTTAATTATTTCGTCTAATGTGTAAACTTACCATTTAAAATCTCAAAGGCACGTTTAATTTCAATAGAAGGCTCAATTTTTTAAAATTTATTTGTAGCAAATAACTTTATATGCCTCGCCTGCATAAGTTTCCTTATACTAAGACAAAGACAGAAATGAGATTTGTTTATTATTTCGAGGTCTCAGCTTCATTATGTGTAAACAAATATTTTAAATTTTAGCCTTTTTTTCGTTTCAAGAATGAAATAAAATTTATTCTATGAGTTTTGGAAGGAAAGTTTATGGATTTTACTATTTTATTAGATACGTTATGGAGAAATTTCTGCAGTTTTACAATACGTAATTTTTCAGTTCCCTCATTTGCGCTGCCATCTACAGCAACAGTAGAAGCAGATATTTTTGTCAAAATTTAAAACTGAGTTGCCCATTTGCTTTTGACTATAGAACCCTTAAATGAGTCTTTGCATTTTTTAAGAATATCTTGAATAACTTAATTTATAATATTGCAAGGTAACAGGATGCTTATCCCATCAAGATGTATTCTATTAAGCGAAACATAAAAACTTTCGTTTTGAGAGAAAAAGAGTATTCTTCTGAAAGCTTTCGTAAGCAGAATGACGTAAAATGAAGAAGCAGTTACTCGCATGTCGGACTTTTTGAGGTTTCCTAAGCACAAAAACTGACATATCTAATAATGTCCAGTAATGGCATAAACTCTGAAATAACACTAATGCATAGTAAAAATTAGGACGGTTTACCAATACACAAAGCAAAGTACTGAATAATATGTTGCACTGAGTTTTCGGATACTGAGTAATGAGAAACATATATGAGATCAGAATAGATTTAACTATCGTATATCCCTCTGCGACTTTTTTGTTTGTCTGCCTCAATATTTAAGGCGTGTTTTCTGCTATGCTTGAAATAAAATGCTAAGTTTGTAGAGTCATTAGATTTTTGTTTTAAGCAGGAGAGGTGAAAAATGTGCAGTGGCCAAGCCGGAACTCGAAGTCTGGAACTAACGAATACGGTCGAGTATGCTTCCTATCGCACCGCGAAGGCATGCTGGAAAGGTGGGAGAAAATACCTTATATACTCCCTCTTTTAATGGGCGACTGGGAATTAGAGGACCTAACCGCCAAATCGTGCTGGTGACAAATTATCGTCCACTACCTTTTAGTTTGGACACCACTGTAAAGTCATTACGACGTTTGGAAGCAGAAGACATGAAAAATGTGCATTGTCCTCGCCGGGACTCGAATCCTGGACCTCTCGAATACGCGTCCATTATGCTTCCATTTACACCCCGAAGGCATGCGAAGAGAAGGAAGAAAATGCCTTATAATCTTCACTTCTTGATCTCGCCATTTTTTCAAAGTCACTCAGTATCGTAAAAAATTGCCTTAACCTCACGTACTGTTTAACAATTCATATCAACGCATTAAATTATGAGTGATTAGCATAAGCAATAAATATAATTTCTTATTTTCATACACCTTTCCCAAAAAAGGAAAGAAATCTTTAAAAAAAATTTCACTAACCAAAAATGGTATAAATGTTAATCTTCTCTCTAGGATACTAGAGTATATTAAAATTGCAAATAAAATTATGTCCATACATAGGGCAAAAATACAATTTTTAGGCCTAAGTTTGATAATTAGCCTCTATTTTAATATTATAGCAAAACTGAGTTGTATTTAGATGCAAAATTGTAACAACCCTAGCCACTAATAGTGCAAATATCATATATCTGAACATAGTATAATGCTGACTTACATATTGCTTTCGCTGTCATCGTTGATATATTCTTCCAACTGGCTAAAATCAAATGTTTCACTGTCTATACCGCCAAGGTCACCGCGGCCTGCAAAGAAATAATAAATATACATATACCAACTGAACTTTATGGCATATACGACTTTACTTATAAATAATATCTTCACTCACATATAGTTATCTCCCTAAAACCTGTTAATACGAGATATCCGTAAAAATAACTATTATGAAATGCATAAATCTTTTTTACAGAAACAACATATTTATAAAATCCTTATGGAATTTTCAGCATTAGTTTGATGTGCACATGACGGTCGCCACTGGACCATTTTGTTGATGTTATAACTTATCTCTCGTGTCTGAGAGTAACATCAGACCAGGCTTACGAAATTCATCGTGGCAAGGAGTGCAAAATTTCGCCTGTCATCGTGAAGAGCCTTGAGCAACATGCAGGTGGCAGTAAGACTTTGCTCATTTCCGGCCCCAATTTTGATGAACAGCACCCCCAGGGGAAGGTTTAGAGAATCTCCTACCCTCTTTCCCTCCAACAAAAGGACAGTTGGCTCTCCACATATTTAGAGTGCTCCTTATTCATGCCTTCTTCGGGATTCGAACCCAGGCCCTTCGTTACGGTAATCAGTGTCGCTAACCACTATACCGGTTGGGCAGCGGAGCAGGTTTTATATAGCTCTTTCTAAACAGTTGTCTACGAATCAAAACCACCTGTAGAGTTATTAAGTTATATAGATGCAGGAATGTGATAAATGTACAATGCTCTTGCCGAGTTTCGACTTCCCGATGCTACCCGGATGTGCTATCGATTTACACCACGAAGACACGTAGAAAGGAGGTAGAAAATACTTTATGTATTCCCCCTTTGAAAAGGCGACTAGGAGGAGGGGACCCAATTGCTAAACCCTGGTGAAGAAGAATTATCGTCCACCACTTTTTAGTTCGAGCACCATTTGTAGAATAATTAGATTTTATCGACGCAGGAGACATGAAAAAGTTACAATGGCCTCGCCAGGATTCAAACTCTGGACCTCCCGGTTACCCATCGGATATGTTTCCAGTTACACTAAGAAGGCAAGAGGAAAGAAGCGAAAAAGCGAACTGAGCACACAAGATCGAAAAAAAAAAAAAAAAAAAAAAAAACTCATTGAACAGTAACTGAGAAGAGTTTCAAAGGCTGGGAAACCAGTTTACACGAGGTGTCACAAAAATGGCTGTCTCGTTAAATGCTAGAGATATAAGGTGTATCGCAAAAGATTATCCAAAACAAAACTTTTTTGCATATTTTATTAGCTATTCTAGTGTCTAAACTTATTTTTAAAAATTCGCAATTTTTTGCGCATTAAAAATACGCAAGAAATCTACATATTAGAATACGTTTATCGGGGGGTGGGCATGCAGTATATTGTGAGACTCTTGCTGTTTTTGGACAAACTAAATTTTTTCAACGAAATATTAGTGGAATTTCGATTTAGGAAGTGAATGAAATAACATCATATCGTGATGACGATATCTCTGGATACACAAACTAATAGGTTTTAGATATATTCATATAATAAGCATGGAATGTAGTTAAGCATGTGAGTAAAAGTAAAAACTCCGTGTTTAAATATGATCGGAATCGAATGGTCAAGCATTTTTCTTTCAAACAAAGGAACCCGTGTAAGATTCTATTCAATTACAGGAGCGCTTGTCTAAAGTTACCGAGATAACTATGGATAAAATTTTGCTTAATTTTATTAGCCTTTGCTAATAAATCAATGTGACAGCAAGATGTTCATTTTCATTTATTAATGATTTAAGTGTGCAAAATGCCAAGAATTATTGGTAATGGTTTCTATAACATGAAAAATTTCCCCTGTCTGTCTAAACGTTTATAAATAATTCTGAAATTTATTCTTTCGCAATATAGTATCTTGGAATAAGTCTTAAAAATTAAATGCAGTTAGTATATTTATAATTTACTTACAGAGCGTAATAATTAAATTTCAGATGTGTCTAGGAATCCATTTCTCATTCAGTTAGTATTTACTACAATTAAGGTGCAAATTCATTTTAGCTAGCACGTTGTTTTTATGTCAATACTTTTATGTGCGTTCTGCTTCTTTAATAAGCCAAAAGCAGCATACAAAGTAGTTAAAGTTTATCAGACGAGCGAAATTTGTAATTTAAACAGACAACTATGGAAGCACATCAGGTAACTGCTTATGCTTGAGATGTTCACTTGTTTGTTGATTTGCATGCTGGCGGGGGGGTTTCGTATTTGTTCATGCGTAGTGCTACAGTAGCCGCAATAGTTGGAAATGGATTAGTGAGGCTTAAAAAGTTATCTTCTGGATTGAAAATATTTAAATATTTGAACTTCTGAGACTCCGTTAGCGTCGGTGGCTACATTTTACTATATTTTGTTGTACTGCAAGACGTAACTTTTAAATAAAAATTTTTCAGAAACTTATCTCTTTGTCTTCTTGGAGTTTAGGATTCTAGCATGTACGAAGACGAGGACTTGTCTAACCACAAGAAGGTTTGTATAGTTATTTAGGTTTGTTGAAGTGGGAAACGCCAAAACTCTGCAATGCTCTTTCTGGGATTCGAACACCGGATTTCCTGATTGCTAGTCGGATATGAAGGTACCATGAAGGTAAAAGTCGGAAGGTAAAAGTCGGAAGGTAAGGAGTCAGAAATTTCTTTACACTCTTCGGCACTTAAAGGGGAACTGGGAGGTGGTGATCCAGTCGCCGAATCTACGTTGAGTTATCATCTATCACATATTAATTCAGGTGCTACTTGTAGAGTCACTTCGACTTTTTTCCGAACCCAGGAAACCACAGAAATCCGCAATACCTGTACCGGAATTCGAACGCCAGTCTTTCTGATTTCTAGCCGGACGTGCTTCTAATTACACAACAAAGTCAGGCTAGGAGTAAGGAGAAAAATTCCTTATAAGTGCAGTTTGTAGCAAATTAGATTCAACCTTAGAAAGATTAAATTTAATTAGCTATAAACTGCGCTTTCCAAAGATTAACCCTAATTAGCTTAAAATAATTTTCATCCACAATGAAGCATTTCTGGTATAAAATTGATTCAGAGTCTGCATCTAAAATTGACTTTTAAATCGCAACATTCAAAATGAATCAGATTCAGACCTGAATTTAAACCCTTGTCTGAATTCATAAATTATTTAAAATTATGCATTAAATATTATTATTTATTCCGTTCATTCTGAAATATATCTCTTTTGTTCAAAACAGTAATAAAACACAAATTATTTATAATTGATGATAACATTTTTAAGAGATACGCTATAAGTAATTCAATTTAAAATATGTATAGGAAAGATTTCTTACAACTGGCAATTAATCTTGTTAATATCTATAACCAGAAAAAGCAGAAATTCATTCGCAAAATAATAATAACATGGCAGCTAAAATCATTTTTTTCTCTCCAAGTTATTTTTTAAAGCAAAAGATGTAATGGTAAGTTCAACAGGTTATTTAAATCGGAATATATAGAACACCTTAGCAGAAAACGATATTCGATAAGCTGTCAGAAATATATAACGAAATTAGTTTCCAGAAATGGTCGGTAATGATCACGCAAAACTTTCTTACGGAGTTCACACGCTCATCCTTACAAGTTTCTCATTTTGTATATTTGTTTATACTACGTTTCCACTAAAACTGTTCTTTTACCGGTTCGGAATGTTTGATGGCAAAATTCTGCACACGCAGCATAAAACGAGACAAATGTTGTGATTTTTTTTTTTCTTAGTAGAAAGTAAAAAAATAAAATAAAAATAACAATTGAATCGAACACTACACAAAATTTATCCGCTAACTGCAACGTAACTCCCAAAAAGTAAAATAAAAAAAGACGACATCTGCTCACGCATCTGGCAACAAAACAGCTTTTCAAAAATAAAATAAAAGGTAACTCACGCGATCATGTGACACGTGCTGACCAACCACACAAGATTACCCACAATCGTCCACAAGAAGTAGAGACGACCATTATGATGAGGGCAAAATAAGCCGCACGCAATGTAGTCAATACATTTTCAGTCTTTTGTTGCGGTCGTAATTTTTCACATGCACGCCTAACGCTAAAGGCTTTTGCATGTCGCTTTTATATATTCAGCGAATAATAAACATAGAAGTGAGCTACAATGCTTAAAACTCGCAGTTGAGCTTGGAAAAATTGGAATAAAAAGAAAGAGATCTGACCATTGTAAATAATTGAACTAGGTACTTCATAGTTTAGAACTGTTAATTATTGATACATGCAACTTACCTGATGGACATAAACAAGCTTCATGTATACAGTGCTGTATATTACGTTTTTAGATCGAAAATTTTGAAAACATATTCTGCGCAAATGTTTAGGACGAGGCATAAGAACAAAAAACGCCTTTTCAGAGTTATTCTGCCAGCTTCATAGTGTTATCATGTTTTAAGTTTGAACTGCATCCCAATATCATATAATAACTATTTATTGATTTTAAATAACTTTGTATCGTTGTTATGTATAATGCTTCGTAATAATTAAACTTTAAAATTTCTTTCTTTAGTTAAACTTTCTCAAGGTTAAATATCGACAGAGATACATATTAAGGCAAAACTATTTCCATAGAGAAGCCATTGTACTTTTCAGTGTTCTATTGTTTAGTTGTTTAGTTCTGTTACTGTTAGTTGTTTAGGTCTGTGTGGCATACCTACGTCTGCGGAGAGCTGCGGGTTAAGCAATTGGTTAATTAATTTATTACCGTTCGCCAGTGTATTTGCGGATTACGGCAATGGAAACCTTCAGCAAAGGAGGCTCTGTCAAAGAAGCTCAGCACATACTAAGGAGGGACAATGAAGAAAGACAGTGAGACATTTGATTCCAATAAGCCATCAAGTACAATGGCTGTTCTCCGACAGTGTTCCACAGGATATATATAAACGCATCATGAAAACTTTCTTGCCGTTCAAACAGTGCACCCAAGCAGGGAAAAACCACCCTTTAGTTTTATTTTCACTGACGTCTGTGTTATCCGTAGTAAATGTTTATATGTATACAGTTATTTCACAGACGTAT